CAGCGCATTGGGGCGCGGCGGTCGGGGCGTGTCCTGTGCCAAGCTGGGAGAGAGGCATAACAGCTGCTCGGCGAGCTGCTGCGTCGTCGGCGAGTCCGCATCCGTAAGCGGTGGAGACTCGCGGCGGGGCAGCAGGTAGTAGGCCAGGTCTGGGTCATCTAGGGGGTTTCTGCTAGGCTCCTCACTGCGACTCCCTGCAGATGGACGGACTGGCATCACTGGACCGGGTCGCAAAGCTGTCGCTGAATCCTTGCTGCAGCCGACGCTGCAGTTCCCTTCGCCAGTGTTGTCGCAGCCGTCGCTGATCTCACCAGTGCTTCTGTCACCTCCACCGCCGCCGCTTCCTCGGCCGCTGCCGCCGCCGCATTCATCGCTGCTCTCGCCGCAGCTGCTCCTGCTGCAGCGGTCCACGTCGTGGCTGTTTCCACGGCTGTCGCCACCGCTTCTGTCAAAGCTGGTGACAGCAGTTCTGACGTCAGGTCTGTCGTGGGCTCCCGCCAATCGTATGGCCGTGGCGTTTCCGCGGACCACTGCCACCGATATCCGCTGAATGAGGCGCTCCATGTCCCGCCGGTCTCCGGTTACCTGCACGATGCGTCGGCCGAGGTCCTTTAAAAAAGAACAGCTGTCCGAGCCCAGTGCTCCGGATGTTTCCACGGCGACCGGGCGGAACAGATAGCGCCGACTGATGGCCTCATACCGCCGGCGTTTGCGTCCCTCGGCGGCGGTCGCGGCTGCGCTTGCCCGGGCTGCTGACGCGGCGACTGATGAGGCGCTGAATGTGTCCACACAGGTAGCATCCCAGACGAGGCACCTCCCTTCTGCGTAGGGGAAAGCTGTGATGCCATCCGGGCGTCGTCCATCACCGCGATCCAAGCCAGCCGGCTCAAGAACCGATGGCAGTCCAGCGGCCGCGAGTCCGCGCTTAATCACGCTGTTGAGCTCAGCGTGACGGGGGAATCGGCCGGCGCTCAGCTGGCAGCTGAGGCCGTGCAGGCCGCGCTCGTCGATGTCCGCTCCGCAGCGGCAGCGATGGGGAGCGCAGACCTCTGCGCCGACCCGCAAGGCGACGGCTGTTCGTAGGGTGTCTGGGTCGAGCAGCGTGCCCACGCTGGCTGCTGGGAAGGCGTTCAGCCAGGCGCCGGAGTGCGGTTGTGCGGCAGCTCGGAGCCGCGCCCGGTCCACATCAGTCGTGCAGTCATCCAGCAGCTGCCGACTGATCGCTTCTGCTGCTGCTCGGTCCCAGTCACGCTGATAGCGCTGTCTGGACACATCTGGCGACGGCAGACCAGTGTGAGCCTCCCACTCTTCGACCAGGCATCGCGTCGCCTCACCGACACGAGCAGCGGCGGAGCCGTAGATACTTGCGATCGTGTCAGCGGAGGCCACTTGTGAAGCGATGTGGGCAGGAAGGGCCACGTCAGTCACCATCCTCACACCAAGTCCGCCGAGATTGACGGGCAGCGTCGCCTGCCGCCATGAGTCGCCTCGCAGTCGGACGTTCGTGATTGCCTCCATGCCGCAGCGAACGGTTTCGTCGATCTTGACGAGCAGGGCAGGGTGGCGATAGGCCGGGGAGCTTCGTAAGAGGTACAGAACGCGAGGAAGGCTGACGTAGCTCTTCAGCAAGAAGAATGCCTGGTGTGCCTCCTCCAGGGCCTGCAGCCGTCTGATGAGCTTTTCCACCATAAGCTGACCTTGTAGAAGCTTACGTCGCACCTGGTCGTCGTGCACAGGCGCGCCAAGCAGCTCCAACTCGCTCATGGACACTTCTCGGATGTCTGGCAGGACGCTGTGGAGGTGGCGTAGAGCGATGGACTTGGATTCTTCGCTGGATCCTTCCAGGAGAATGGCTTCACATTTCGTCGGATTTATGGTGAGGCCCACCTTGCTCAGCTCTGCCTTCACTCGTTGGATGCTGGAGACAACATCAGGCACTGATCCCGCCAGCGTGCCGTCATCGAGGTACCAGATGTTGATATCTGTGTCTGCAGACCTGGCGGCGGCATCCACCGTCAGGGAAAACAGCAGAGAACTCAGTGGGTCACCTTGCTGAATTCCTGTTTGAGACAAGATTTTGGAATCGCCTATGAAGAGCGGTGTGGTGGTGTTGTATCCCTGCCATACGAAGGGATAGATGGCAGGCGCTTGCTCTATTACGGCTTCCATCATGGAGTCCCTGCGCACGGTGTTAAATGCATTGGACACGTCCAACTTGACCATGATCTTGCTGTCTACGGCCGATTCTGAGCTCCCTTGTATGTAGGCTCTGACAGCGTGCACCGCCGCCTCACAGCCGTTCCTTGTGGCCACACCGAGCTGTATTGGACGCAGTCGAGCTCCTATAGCCCCAGAGACGGCTGCCGCGGCGACTTTCCCTGCGATGCGGCGGTAAACACTCCCAACCGCGATGGGCCGCAGGCCGCCGTCCTTCTTTCGGAGCGCGATCAGCGATGCGCCGAAGAACGCTGGCACCACACACTCGGGCAGGCGACCGCTCAGTGCCAGGTTTGTGAGCGCCGTCAGGGCCGTGAGTAGTCTAGCTCCAGCCTCAGCAGTGTGCTTGGTGAGCAGAGAGCGCAAGTGGGCCGGTCGGATTCCGTCGAGCCCTGCGCTGGAGCTCGGCGGGAAAGAGTTGATGGCCTTCATCACGTCCGCCTCAGAGGCCACCAGAGGCGCCTGGCTGTCATCGGGCGGTGGGATGTCACGCAGATCGGCGGGCGGCTTCGGGTGCTTTTCTTGCATCTTGTTGATGACATCATCCGCTGGGGGTGCGTAGGAGTCATCGGACGTCAGCGTTCGGAGTGCTCCTCGGATGTCGCCGTCCGTGAGCTTTGAAGCCACGCGTCGGGACATCGCTGTCACTCCGTCCGCTGGGCGATGACCGCGGCGGCGCTTGGTGGGTGGCACCGATGGCTGTGCTCCGTCTGGGTCCCCGTTCTGCGTCAGATTTAGGCGTACTTTTGCAGCTAGTGAACTCCTCGGCGCCTCCTGCGATTGCTCCTTAACCCTCAGCGCGGTGTAAGCAAAGCGCATTAGTCTGCGCCATGCGCCTTCGGCGCCCTCAGCGACGGCGCTGTTGATGAGGCGGGCGAGTTCGTCAGCCACAGCGATGCGCGCTCCTCTTGGGACGTGGGGTAGAATCCGCCCGGTTCGCTTCAAGGTAGCTATTTCAGCGGCAATGTCGGTCGTGGCAGATGGTGTCGTGTTGGGACATTTATCCCCGAATCGGCAGGTGGTGCACGGGTTTCCCAGTCTGACACAGCGGCACGCCTTGCATGGGTTTGTTACGCACCTACAGCAGTGCGTTATGCATTGACTGGTCTTCATCTTGCATCTACCAGCTCAGCAGCTGAAGCCTTCAAAGTTGACCATACCAGCCAAAGCGAAAGCTCCGACGGCCAGCAGGGCTCGAACCCGCTCCACTCCTCACTCCCTCTCCTCAGGGGCCAGCACCCTATCCACTCGGCCACGGTGACATGTGCCTGGCCGAGTCATCACAGCAATCAAAAGTTAGCTAAACGGCTAAAGAGTGTCCTGGAGCCCACTTTCCGTCCTGGCTTGTCAAGAAACTGGGAAAAACACAAAAAATAGCTGAGCGCCTTATCTCCGGTGCAAGGCGATCTCGGGGAACAATGTCACGTTTTTCTCCGGAAGAAAAATATGCGATCTCTTGCAATCGCTGACGCTCTAAGAAGTTGTCAAATATAGCCAAATTTCAAAGAATTATAGCATTATAGTTCTGATCTTACGTGAGTTCATGCTGCGGCCCAAGAGAGAAAAAAACTTGAAATTTTCATCTTACATATGGCACAGAAAGAATGTTTTCATCTTCAGTCTTCTAGGCCAGCGATGAAAATCCGCGCCAAAAGTCGTCTCAGCAAGTCACATTTGTCGAAGGAAAGGATTTAGAGCCTTTTTTGTTTGTATAAGGGATTTATGTGCGCTTCGGCCGGCCAGTGGGCTCAAACAACACAATATAACTATAGGATGTACGATCTTTGCAAAAGAGGCTTAAAATGCTGGAGATTGCGGGACCAATTCAGGAGATGCTTCCGGCAGGAGCTGCACCGACGAATCCGACTATGACAATGCACGGTAAGAAATTGGCTCTGATATCCTAAAAATTCACCATAAGAGCCTCATCAATAAATTTATAAAAGTGACGCCCCTGATGCGATCACAAATCAACTAACACACGCCACACAGCTCCATACACACATCCGATCTTTACCTGGATGTGATAAAACGTCGGTAAAGTCCCGTCACATTTTGCGTAACACTGTAATAGCGCGGGTTTTACCAGCTCTCAGCTTAGCCGGATTTTGTATTGTACATATTTTTACGGCGGGAAACTTCAGCGACATGCTGACCTCCAGAATCACAGCGGACACCGCATAACGCCAAACACAAACTTTTCTGTGAAAAGCGATAATGTGAACACATATATATTGTGAACACAATATATATGTGTTCACATTATCGCTTTTCACAAACGTCAAACTGTCATACCACACAAACTTTTCTCATGTTTTTTTTTTCAGTTAAACCTAGCTTGGGTATTAGTCGTATGGTTACTTACATGCTTGAGTACTTGGGTACTTAGATAACCGTTATCCTTTTAACCTAACCTATACCACTCACCTTTATATTTTACAAAAATTAAATATACTTAGTTATGACCGATTATGTCCGCACTTGTTCGGTTTTTTCCATTTTTCAGTTTAAACATCCACCACGCTCCAATCTCAATCAACATTGTGTCATTCATTCAGTTATTTGCATGACATTTTCTAGCTATCTTTTTCATATGTGCTGAACGACAATGTGCATCCAATTTCCTTTCAAACAAACCCAACCGCTCGCGTTAAACCCATTGTCTTGCCATTAATAAACAAGCCATACGACTAATTGGGTTGTCCTGTATATGGTCCGCATTGGTTCGCGAGAATCAGCGGAGGACAAAATGTATAAAAGGGAGGAAGATTGAGGGCATCCGTGGCAGTGAGGTCTTGTGTGTGCTAGAGTGAGGGTCTGTAACGGAGAAACGCAAAAGGACAGACGACAAAATGAATCCGGTGAGTAAATGGAGGCAAAATGCAAGAAGATATTTCTTAAAGTTCTGGCGTCCAAAGGCAAAAACGATCATGTCAGGTCAAAGGTCATCACGTCAGGTCAAAGGTCACCCTAACGTAATCGGTTTTGCCTTTGTGCGGCAGAGTTATTGTGTTGGCTAAGGACTTTGAGTTTGAGCAATGTGAAATAGCATGATGAAACGACGACCACAAGGGACATTTGAAACCCGTTTTTTGAAATAGTGCCAATGAAGACGAAGAAGCAAACATTTAACATAAATTTTGCATCCCTTTTATTCCCAATTTGACCCGCTCGATTCCTTATCAATGTCACCTGACAAGTCACAAGTGGCAGTGGCGGCGCCACGAATTTTCGCCAGTGGGGGCAAGCTTGAGGTGACCCACTTGTTGTCTGGTACACTCGGGGGCAGATTGATGTTCTACAACTCTTTATCCACCGCACCGTGGGGACTTATGCCATGCTAGCACGACATAAGTGGCAAATACGAGTATTTTGATATCCACTTTTTTGTCATCCATTTCACGTATAATTGCCCAGTGCATCCATACCCGACCTTAATTCCTTTCAAAAACGATTGCTTACACCTCAAAACACCTCTCAAAATGTAGCATTGTGCTGACCAGCATCCTGCTTCCCGGATATAGCGAAAAAGCACATGACAATGAAACGCCCGCTCACTCGTTTCCCTGAACAGTAGCTTAAAGTTGCGATATGCTTTCATTATCTGTGTTTAATGAGGAAGATGATGATATGCACGAAAATTTCCAAAAATCAACCAAAGGTATCATTTTCGAACGAAATGCTAAAATTTTTAAAATGCTTTTGATTCCAGGAGTTGAATCAGGAAACTGTTACCCTACAAAGTTTGATACGCGGTGGTACGCATGACAACACATATCAAAATGTTCTCCAATAATTTCTGCATCGGGGGCAACTCTCATTTTTTGCCGAAATTTGCCTAAACCAGTCACTATGAGACGTCAAAGCAGACTGTGACGCGTGGTTTCTTACGCGCCGCGGCGGGTTACCCGACCGCGGCACACCGCCTGGGGGGTTTCCGGTCAGTAGGGGGTTGGGAGGAGGGAGGGAGGGGGTGATACCATGTTGACCTTGTTATTTTCCATCGCCAAATATTGTTTTTGGATAAATCAACAACGCTGTTGCAACGCTGCGTCTACATTACTGGCTTCTACAGTCAATGTTCACCTTAAGAAGCTTGAGTTATAGAGCTTTGATATAGGCAAATCGAAAACTGATATAACTTCGTAAAGTGGGGGTGTAGGTTTTGGGGGTGGTGATCACGATTTTCGTGTTAGTTTTGATCAATGATGATCTTTTTCATGCAAGGTCGGGTCAGGCTAGACCCGATGATTAGGTGCCCTGCCGCCTATCCATAGAAGGCAGGTGTTAATCACTTCTAATGGCTTCGTAACAGGTTACGTAAGCACCAAAACTTCTTATTAAAGGTTTTAACGGGTGTTAAATTCGAAATTATTTCCAAGCACTCACTAGAAAAATGCTTACTCGAAAAGGAATTCGAAATTATTTCCAAGCACTCATCTAGAAAAATGCTTACTCGAAAAGGTTAACTAAGGTCATCTAAGCTAAATGACCTCGACCTAACCTTTGACCTTAAAAATGCCAGGAACAAACAGCATTTCATATGTTGGAGCGTTAGCAACCACAACAAGCGCCGATAATGTGCGCTCACATGCGCCAAATCGATAGCAGCCTAGCCTGGTCGGGAGAAACAGGTCATATGTCAAAACTTATGAAAGTCAAGGTCATGAACTTTCAGTTCATGTATAAAATTGACCGACTCTAAGGTATAGAAAGTTTAGTCGCGTTCCACCACGTTTTGCTTGAGTTAGTTGCGAAAAACCGAGGGGGAGGATCTGTTCGACCCTGGACCGTATGGAGTTAATGGCCCAAATATGGAGAACCGGATTTTTAGAACTTATCCATACCTTCAAAACTCATGGAAACGTCTTAAATTCTTCAAATTTTGAGTACCCCAGTGCGAAATTCGCCCCGACGGGTTGTCGGTCGTACCCCAACCACATTTCACACCACTATAAACAATAAATGCACACACTGAAATCGCTATTACCGATAGGCTCATCCAATCAAGTTTCGATAAACCCGTTCATCATAATCTCCTGCGGTTTCGAACACGCCTGTTAGGTGGTGCGGTAGACCGCGCCCAAAGCCAGGACCCCGGTACACTGTAAACCAAATTGACAAGTCTTGTGTAATATAACCAATCATCTCTTGGTATGTTTACCAACTGATACTTTTCAAACAAGCCGTTGTCTGGTGCATTGCTTGTCAGGTGACAACTACGAGTCAATAGTTACTATGCACACCAACTTCTCAGTATCCAGACCAACTCTACATTTGTTTCAACGTTTGTTTCTTAACCAGTTTTGGAAACTTGTTGCCGCATGGTTATTTAACCGGCGCCTAACTTGTACTGGTCAGCTGGTCAGCATACACATGGTCAGCTGCGCCCGTGACGTCAGACTTGGCGGACCAATCAGCGGTCGCCGTCCGGCCCCGGCGCGGCGGTTTCAAACCGTTCAAACCAGCAGTTGTCGCGCGGCCGCCGTGCAGCATGGATCAGCGACGAGGGCTGTTCCAGCATTTGTGCAGTAAAAAGTGAAATCTGTGAACTGTGGTGTTCGTGCTGTGAGTGAGGCCCGCTCTGGCCTGCGGGACGCACTAATCGTGCCTATACCCGCGGTCGAGACGCCTCCCTTCCCCTGCGCGCGCAATGTAAGTGGGCCAGACCTTTGCATGCACATGTGAGCAGATGTTTTGCGGTCGGTGTTTTTTATATATATAAATACATTTATTTGCCTTTAATTCAACTCTTTGTATTTTTAACTTAACTGATGGACATATATGGGCTGTAAAAGCTAATCTGGTTGGCGATCATGATTTATTCGAATTATCTGCGTGATCGTGCAACTGCCATGATTGTTATGGTCAATGTGGAAATATTCGTCATACGGGCATGCTATACTTCTGGCTTGATGCGATGCACAAAACCATGTTCTTCCACATACGCAGCAGTTCTTGCTTCAAAGACTTATATGCTGACGGTGCACGATAGGTATACCTACCTCATGCATTTACCACATCCATTCGAAAATATGCACTTGGAATTGTCTCCAGTCAATAGTACCTATTAATTACATACTACGTGATGTAGGTACGTGACCGTAATAAATACTAATGATTCCAGAAAGTTCCGAATGGATGTGGTGTATGCATTCATCGATTATATAACCCATCAGTATTTCGTTTCTTGTCAGCGCAAGCCTTTGAGCAATAACTGATGCCAGTCATGGTTTTGTGCACCACTTCCAGCCAAAAAATGACCTGTCCGTATAGAAAATATTTCCTGAATCAGTATCGTAGCAATTGAAAACGAAAGCGAATCGTAAGTTCTTAAGGTTATCAACGCAAACAAAGCGATTGTAAGGAAGAACAAGTTCGAACTGAGCGTTAGTACACTTACTTGTTGACAATTTGTAAACTAGCAATGCCCAGTCAAAGGCTAGTTCATCAACAAACCAGGGGTTGTTGAACCGACAAGGAAACGGCTATGCCTATCCAGAAGTTGGTAGGTTCACAAGGCCCAGACTAGTACTCAACAAGGTGACGCCTATGCGAATTGGAACCAAACTTGTAGACAAACTGTTAGTTTGTTGGCCAACAAGCCTGGGGTTGGTGAATCGACAAGGTATCGACAAGGTGACGCCTATGCGAATTGGAACCAAACTTGTAGACAAACTGTTAGTTTGCTGGCCAACAAGCCTGGGGTTGGTGAATCGACAAGGTGACGCCTATGCGAATTGGAACCAAATTTGTAACAAGGAGCCAACTTGTAGATTTGGTTTACAGTGTAACGTGAGGTAGCCGAGTCGGGGCAGCGTGCGCTGACCCAAGCCGGGGCCGCGCGTCCTCCCGGTGTCATGTGATAGCCCGGGGCTGCCCGCGGGGATGCGGTAGACCGCGCCCAAAGCCGCGGCCCCGGCTTGGGTCAGCGCACGCTGCCCCGACTCGGCTACCTCTTGTTACCGGGGCCCTGGCTTTGGGCGCGGCTTCTGCTCATACTTTGTGGTGCGGTGGTGGTGCGTCGGGCCGCGCGCTCCGACTTCGGCCAAGAAAAATGCGTCAGCTGATCATTGTCATTTCTGCCATTTCCATGTGGTGAGATGGGGTCATAACTTTAGAGACGGCTGTTTCATATCAATTATTTTACATAAAATAATATTTCAAGCCATAAATTAATGTTCGACAGCCAAATTAAAGAAACAATACCAATACAGGCTTACAGTTTAAATTCGACATTGTGTTGTCTACGATTAGACAGCTGATAACTCATTCCCGTACGTCGTAACTCTATAATGACCTTTGCTTATTGTCACATGTGCGCCGCATTCGCGATTGTTGCCGACGCCTGTTTGCAGGTCAGCCCACTACAGTTGTTATACATATCGAAAAACCGATAAACTTTTAGGCGAAAAAAGCACTATTTTAGGCCCATTTTTGATTTTTTTTTGCGATATTAGGTAAAAACAGAAGCTTCTTATCCTAGGAAAAATAAAATGGGAAATCATTGGAAGGCGGCACACTACCTTTAAGCAACTCTTACTGTTCCTCTATTGTGTGGTCTCAGCCACCAATAGCAAACCGTTCCATCTAGGAACAAATAAGTCGCGCACCTGGGACGGTTCGAACCGGGTTTCTCCAACCGGTCACCCTACGACGCTAGCGCGTATCCACTGAGCTGCCGAAACCAGCGACCACTCGCCGCGGTCAAACGCGATCAAATGTCCGACAATACTGTCATTGGCGGTCAGCGGGTGAATGTCATTTTGTTTTGAGCAGACGAGGACCATTCTCGGTAGCTCAGTGGATGAACGCTCGTGTCGTGAATTGGCCGGCGCGGTGGGAGAAGCCCGGTTCGAACCCCCCTGAGTGGCCGACTTCTTGGCTCCTAGTTGGAACGGTTTGCTATTGGGGGCTGCAACCACATATAAGAGCAACAGTAATAATCGCTTTAAATTGGGGCGTTGGCTGCGGCGCTACTCATAACCCCCAGTTCCCACGTCTCTGGACGATTGCCGTGCGAAACAATAGACACCAATCTGCTCAATCAAGGCCTTAATACTAATATGTTATACAAAATATAGCTCCGCACCTCGATGCACGAGTGACGATAACTTCTATCGGCTGTCCCATTGCCACGCTTAAGTGTGTCGTAATGTGCATTGCAAGTATGATGATAGGCGCTGTCTTGGGGATAGGACATTTTAACAACTGCTTTAGCACAATGGTTAGGTAGAATAATTGGCGTCCTGAGACGCGAAAGTTAACTACACTCGCTCAGCCGCGCGATGTCCGTGCTCCCACCCCACCTCACTCCCCAGTCCTCGCCAGCTGCCGCGCCGCGCCGACCCGAGCCATGCCTCCGGGCTCGGCCCTCACCGCTGCGCTGACGTCACAGGCGGCCCATATCACCTTCCAGCCACCGACCCAGACCGGTGTCATACGAGTGGGTAGGCTGTGCCGCTTGACAAGTAAGTGAAGCGGCACAGTCTACCGGTACCAGGCGGCTGCTGCCAATGCTGAGCCATAGGAACCCGGTGGATAAAGAGTTGTAGAACATCAATCTGCCCCCGAGTGTACCCCGATCTGCAGAATCCAGGAGCACCTTGCTCCTAGATGTTGTCATTCAAAATTACCATAGTTTTGTAGCCTTGTTTGCATCATCACATCCTATAGTACCTACCTATCATGAATATTCCACAGGTCTTTTGTTCGCTTTTCAACATCAGCCAAATTTTGTGGGGGCAAAAACATAGTCTTGCCCCCACGGCCTCCTGTCAGTGGGGGCAGTCTGCCCCCACTGCCCCCACGGTGGCGCCGCCCTTGACAAGTGGTACAACGAACTTTGCTGTACCTAGATGCTACGTTTCATACGAGCCGTGAATGTTATTGCATGCGAATATGTTGTATGCGCCGTTCTTATTATACCTACAAGCTAAAGACAATTTTCTTTGTAAAAATTCAAGCTTCAGATATTTTGTAATACGGTCGTGTTTGTGACCCCCCCCCCCTCCCGAGATAATCTCTCTCTCATCGGCACGCTCTCTAATAACACCGGCTCCTCCTCTGCGCAGGTGTTCTATGGCCTGCTGCTGGCAGCAGTGTCACTGTCGTCCATCTCCGAGGGATCTCCCCACTTCAGCCCCAGACCTCACACCCATCGACGTGTGTATTACTCGTCATCTGCTGTGACTGTACAGCAACAGCCACAGCAACAGCAGCAGCAGCAGCAACAGCAGGGGTTCCAGCAGGGTGGCAGGGCGTTTAGTCAGCAGCAGCAACAGCAACAGCAAGGAGGTGGCGCATTCAGTCAAAACGGAGGATTTGGTGGTCGCTCAACTGGACAGAATAGAGAATTTGGTGGTCGCTCAACTGGACAAAATGGGGGATATAATGGTCACTCGACAAACCAAAATGGCGCCTTTGACGATCGTTCCTTCAGCCAGAATGGAGGATTCGATGATCATTCTATGAGTCAAAACGTAGGGTTTGACGATGGTTTGAGCCACCAGGACACTGGTTTTAGTAGTCAGGGTGGAGGTTTGGATGATGGCCTCTCCAGCACTGGCTTCAGCAGCGGAGGGAGCAACAGCTTCGGTCAGGGAGGCAGCAGCAACTTGGACGATGGAGTCCCCAGTAACCAGAACAGTGGCTTCAAGGGGCAACAGAGCAGCGAATTCAACAAGCAAAGCAATGGGTTCAGCAATCAACAGAACAGCGGGTCAACCAATCAAGATGATGGAGTCCCTGTCTTTGATCAAAATAATGGATTCAACAACCAACAAAACAACGGATTCAACGGCCAGCAGAACAATGGATTCAATAAACAACAGAACAGTGGATCGACCAACCAAGATGACGGTGTCTCAGTCTTCGACCAAAATAACGGATTCACCGGTCAGCAGAGCAATGGATTCAGTGGCAAACAGAACAATGGGTTTAGTTCCCAACAAAGCAACGAGTTCAGTAAACAACAGAACAGCGGATCAACCAACCAAGATGATGGTGTCCCTATCTTTGATCAAAATAATGGGTTCAACTCCCAACAGAACAGTGGATTCAAAAACCAGCAAAACAATGGGTTTAACAACCAGCAGAACAAAGGATTCAGCAACCAGCAGAACAGCGGATTCAATAAGCAAAACGATGGGTTCAGCAACCAACAAAACGGCGGATCCACCAACCAAGACGACGGTGTGTCTGTCTTTGACCAAAGCAATGGGTTCAACTCCCAACAGAACGGCGGATTCAACAAGCAAAACGATGGGCTCAGCGCACAACTGAACATGGGATCCACGAATCAAGATGATGGCGTGCCTGTCTTCGACCAAAACGCCGGCTTCAACAATCAGCAGAATCATGGTCAACAAAATGGCGGGTACGGCAGCCAACAAAATGGTGGGTACAACGGCCGGCAAAATGGCGGGCACAATCAACAAAATGGTGGGTACAATGGTCAGCAAAACAACGGTTTTAGCAGCGCTGGATCAAGCAACCTAGATGACGGCCAGAGCTCCCAAGCAAGCGACTTTGGTAGCGGGGGGAGCAGCGTCTTCGGCAGCGGCTCCAGCATCTCCAGTAACCAGGACGACGGCATATCTGCCCCCAGCGCCTCCAGCACTGCCTTCAGCGCGCCATCTGGCGGCGGCAGTGCGGTAGATGACTCGCAGTTCCACTCCGGAGGGTTTGATGATAGCTTCAGTCAGCAGGGGTCTGGAGGTAGCGCTCAGCTTCAGCAAGGCGGTCGCGGTAATATTGATGATGTTAGTCATGGAGTGGAGCCTTTCCATGGGGTGGATGATGGCACTTTCGGCGCTGGAGGATTCGATGATGGCACTAACGTCCCCTCGACTGGATCGAGCGGTAGCTCAAATGGATTCGGAAGACACGCTAATGGTTTCAACAATGGAGGAAGCGGAAGACGACACAGCCACAACTCCTATTCTCACTCTCACTCTCACCACGGCTCTCACCGCCACAGTGCCTCTCACAGTCACTCGAGGAGTTCTCACAGTTCTCGGAGTTCGAGTAGTTTCAGGCGTGGGGGAAACCGCGGACACGGGTTTCAGAGGAAGGCGTATGTGCTGCAACCGGTGAATTATTGAAAAAGTGGAAGTTGTCACGCTGTAAAAAATGTAACGTGCTATGTTGTGGTAAAATACATTTGAATTGAAAGGGCGTTGTTGAAATACATGCCTAAATTGACAATGTTTTCATGTTGAAGTTTATCCCGTGTCAAATGATATCGAATATTGCATGCATCGATACAATACAATATATGTAAATATAAAGTAGTTATATTTCAATGGCTATGGATATTTCTCTCGAAAGGGGCTGATGAAAACAAACACGACTAATTACTCTCAACAACATGCTATTTAATTGCAGGACAATCGGATCCCTACACAAACAAAGATATCGCAGAAGCATGCACCTGTAGGGAAAACAGTAAGTTGCCTTGTTTGCCTCGCTTTGTATAACGAACCGAGCGTAAAACCTGAGAGGCCCTTCACAATCGTCAGTGTCCTGGACAGTTTTCGGAACTAAACACAGGAAAGAACGCATGGTGCTCAATTATGCAGCCTATATGAAAACAAACGCCATTTGAATGAGTGTATGAGTCACACTTTTCCTTCTAGAATACAGGAAAGGGCAAACGGATGCTAAAACGCGGTATCATGCTGAAAACAATCAGACATAGTGAGGGAAGATTATCTTGTTTTAATTTACTAGCCTTGACTCACTAAATATGTTCAGCCATCACTTATACTGACATATTAATCGCATTTTTTCAATTATTTTAAATATGGAAGTCTTTCCGTTCTCAATTCTCAGTTTTTCACACACACACGCTCGTAAATACGACATACGTGTAGTGGGAAGTGTTCCAAAATGGTACGCAGTTGCCTGCAAAAGTCAATATAGAATATACGTTATGTGTGTGCGTGACGTGTGTGTGTGTGTGTGTTATGTTGCGTCCCCTCCCCGTCACTTTTGTCGCGCGAAGACTGCGTAGCAACAGCCGGTAGCCACCTGACCCGGTGACCTTTCAAGGTCACGGCTGACCGCTGGGATCAGGGCTGACCGGCCGACTGCAACAGCGAGGGAGCAAGGGGTCTGGCGAGTCACCTGCAGGGCCGGGCAGGGGAGCGGCCAGAGCGCAAACGAATTCACGGAAATATATATTTCATTGTAATTCGGTACAGGTAATGTCGAGGGTAGTAGGGCTTAATGGTCATATGCGATCATTACAGGGCTGTTATAAAATGTAGATAAATATAGTGCGATGAGGCAGGGGTGGCAGCGGGCTTACACGTTTTTTTGTTTTGTTTGGTTGGGCTAGGCCAGTTAGGTTCTTTCGGTCAAACAAGATCATTGCAGAACCGGAAGAGGATGTTAGGGGAGACATTGAGGGGATGAGTTAGGGGAGACATTGGTCTGGGTAAGCACCCTGGTGATTCACTCGGGGTGAGGGGGAGGGCGGGGCTGAGCCCATTCAGTGGACAGGCCACCCGGCAGACCCCCCCCCCTAGCATTCACTGCACCCGGCTACGGGTCATCATCATTCATCATCATATATTTTTGCGGCACATGGGATTTGGGAAGTAAGTAAGAAAAAGAAAACATCAGAAATCTTCAGGTATTCAATCAGGTCTGCTCCTTCTTCCTATGAGCCAGCTTCCCGCATGCAGGATGCATTTGCCCGACCAGTCCGGAACAGGGGGTTGAGGCGTGGAAGAGAAGGATCTGACTATCCTGAGGGTGGAAAAGATGGAACGGTATTGGGGCTTAAGGCTGAAACAGACTCTTTCCGCGTTCAGGAAATCGCATGCGAGAGCCTATTCAAATGCATTATAATTTTCCTGCATCAATCGCATCCGGGAGGTGCGTGCGATTGATGCGAGTGTGCTTCCATGTATTTGAATAGGCTCTCGCATGCAATTTCCTGACTGCGGAAAGAATCTGTGTCAGGCATAAGACGACCACCGTCCGCCAGTTGTGTGCCAGTGTCGGTCCCAGGTGCACAACCTACGTAGTAGGCTATGCACCGCAAAGTCGTAGTAATTGCGAAGTGTTTGAGGCCAGATGAGTACCTACGGTAACAAAAAAAAAAAAACGGATTAATCTCTTATGGTTTGCTGTCTTTATTTTAGTTGTGTCTTTCGGTTTATTGGGACCATTCCCGTGGGATGGAGAGATGCATTAAACTGAGTCGATCATTGACATATTTGCCATAGCACCTGACGAGGTGGGATAAGACGTACTATCTAATTTTTTGGCATGCTGGGGGCGTACTGCTTCATATACAGTTGGTGGGGCGGCTGCTGCCTGCTACCCCGCCAACTTGCTATGGTCCCACCAATATCGATTTGCCTCACTAACTTCAGCTCATTTGTAAGAATTGTGGCCTTGCAAAGCAACCTTTTTAGCAACGGGGGCATTGGAATGTCTGTTTCGTGCGAAAGATTGTATCTGCAATAAAAGGAAGTTTCAGTATAGCATTCTATCAAACTTGGTAATCGGACAATGTAGAATGGTGACTTCTTGCTCTTGAAAAGCTCCCTTGAAAACTTGCCTTGAAATGCTCCTCCCATGTGACATTTGTAGGCTATTTATGAGGACAATCTCTTACAATCACCATTTGGAATACATGTAAGTCAGAGCTTGAATTTTTCATTGCTGGTGATACTGTGCTACAACTCAAGGCGTTGTAGTCACCGGCACAGCTGTCTTTGGAGACTGCACTTATTCACAAGATCCTAGCACCACAACTCCCCAAACCTGCCTGTAGGTGGCATTAGCGTCTTTACACCGCCCGCCTCCCACTAACTCCAGTTCTAGGACCTCCCGCTAGATGTCACTGCTGTCTCGAGCCCCGCCTCCCCTCCCCTCCCCCAGACAGGCCGCTCAGGCTCAAAGCGTGCCGCCGCCGACGTCTTCAGTGCCCACGAGGCGGCGAGCGGTTCGGGAGTGCGTGGTATGCTGTTGATAGTGATATTGGGTGTGCGATACGTAGGTATGGTGATGTGACGTCATATGATATTGTGACGTAATTGGTGATAGCGGAAGACTGGACGTTGGTGTGCCGGATACATGAACTCGCTCTACAATAGAAGGTAAGTGGAGATATGGGGTTGCAATGTTGCAAATAATCCTCTCCATCCAAACCTTTCAATCTTTTAGTTTTTTTTTTCTCTCGGCCTCAGTGCAATACATATGAAGGCGTATGCATGACCGACTCTAAACTATACCTACCTATACCTAATTGTTGCGAATAATGAACCGTTGAAAAAAAAATCATGGGGGACTTCGGCATAAGCATGGGTTTCGCTTTACGTTTGCCTAGCAGGGCTCAAGTACCTACTAACAATAATACCTATCGCATTGGTAGGTCATTACATGGTAAATTTGCTTTTGGTATAGGTATCCCAAAATTTACAAAATTCGCCGCAGCCCTGCCAATGAATTTCAGAAAGTGACGCCCGGGGTAAAGAGAAGTTCACACGTGCTTCACATGTGCTTATAACCATTGGACGACATACAGATAGCTAACGCCTATATGCTTGCGAAATCCATAATCAGCCTTGAGTCTCAACCTAAGTCTCCTCTCATCCCTTTGCTAAAAACATCGTCCTATCATGCCATTTGTCACCGACACCCTCTAATGGCCAAGCCTGTCCTAAACGTCAATTCCCTTAGCATTAGAACTAAACAACCGCTACCTTCCTCGCAGTCAGGCTCCCTTCAAGAAAGCGCAGTTTGGAGCCCATCTGTTACCCTCAGGCGTTTCCCACGAGCCATTATGTGCAGAATGTTGTGAAATATTTTCACACGGGCAACTGTGCCACTGCTCCAGTTCCTTTGAGTTTCACGGTATGCATGTGATTGTCTGTTCTGCATTATGGTGGTTGTCACTAAATGGGACTGCATGTCGTGACAAAAGTGTGGTGTTTTCGTAAAGGTTAATTAGTCAATTTGCGCAACAGGAAACTTATCAATGTTGGACGCATCATATCCCGTTCTCGTGTCGCACTGTCTATCGTATTCTTCTCTCCTCTTTCCTTTCGTTTCTTTTTACTATGTTCTCTCTCCTCTCTCTCTCTCTCCTCTCTCTCTCTCTCTCTCCTCTCTCTTCTCTCTCTCTCTCTCTCTCTCTCTCTCTCTCTCCTCTCTCTCTCGCTCTCTCTCTCTCTCTCTCTCTCTCCTCCTCTCTCTCCTCTCTCTCTCTCCCTCTCTCCTCTCTCTCTCCTCTCTCTCTCTCCATCTCCTCTTCTCTCTTCTCTTCTCCTCTCTCTCCTCTCT